AGTGCCTTCTCATCCGTTTTCGTGTTGCCGTATTGACGGATACAACAAGTCAGGGGCCCGTTTGCAACGTTCTGCAATCGTGGCGAAGCCCAAAGTCAACATCTTTGTTTAATGTCGGGCGAATCACTACATGTTAGCAACAAGACTTGTGCCAGAGCCGGTAGCACAACAGTACACTTCAGATGTCGCAAACATTCAGTGACTTCTGAGCCACGTAGTAGTCTAGCAACATGGACTTTCTTGGTCTTGCCAGGCTACGCATGTGTTTATCTCTTAGTTGGCATACCTTAAAGGGGATGCTGATTTCCGATCCGTCTTCAAACATGCCTGTGCAAAAACCGCATGCTGCAAATGAATAAAAACGCCCACGATGATGCCCCAAGTTACGCTGCGTCTGATGTGGGGGAACTGCCACCAGCCTGTTGGACAGCGGACAGCACGATTCCGGGATTGGACTTCTTTGATGTAGACTGCAGCGAATTACACAGAACGATTTGCACGAATCTGCAGTCTGCAGCGAGTTACATAGAACGACCTGCATGAGTCTGAAGTTCACTGCTAGTATTCTACACTCGTGGGAGCCTTGGACGCCACAACGGAAAACAAACTCTGATGGCTTGCGACACACCGCAAAATCTACCAACCTCCGATGTTTCGCGGAAGGTGACCTTGGCAGAAAAAAATTTCAAGGCGCCAGACGTCTAGAGCGCTCCCGGAGCTAAACCCTTAGAGCCTAGAGCGCAGGCGCAACCAGATCTTAGGGCCAGGAGGCCTACTGTCAGACCCGGCGTATGCCTTGACGACTGAGTGATTATATAGACAAGGACACTTCCTTGCACCAAGCTTCAGCACTTTCGGGCTCAAGTCAACAACGGACAGCACCCACAAGCCAACAGTGTGGCAGTATTCGGGGCAGTGATGTCGCACTAAATTCATCAGAACTCACAACTCTGACTAGATCCTTCCGAGGACCCGGGCGTTTCGATTTAGAGTGCCTGTGTCTTAACGCTTGAAAGATCGCAAGCGGTACACATCCCCGGAGGTCTCTCTCTGTCGTTGCATCCATAGGCCGGTGCGGGGGGTGGGGGGCGGGGTGTGCTCGGACTTCTTTGACTGAGCTGTCTCTCTTGCGCCAGGGGTGGCTACGCCCCATCAAAACAGTGCCCTTCTGGTCAACCTTTTGGGATTCTGATGGAAGTGTTGAAACCTTTTATCTCTAAACCCTTCAAGCATTTGTGAAAAGGCTGAGTGAGGAGCTCGGTAGAGCTGCTCAGCGACGGAAGCTATCCTTGACTCGGCCGGCCTCTCCTCCCGCAATCACAACTGTTCCGCGCACCACTTCATGTGCAGCTCACACCTGAATATCTGTACAGTGTTCGCATGTTTGTGTATATATAAACGTTATACACACGCACACTCGCATGTATACTGGTATTTGCCAGACGTTGTGCTTTTAAAAAGTTGTCTTGAGTTGTGAAGTTGTCTAGCTTGCTTATCCATGCAGTAATTACCTATCTGCTTATTTGTCTGCTTGTTTACTTAAAAGGTCGTGTGGACCTACACTGAAATACTAAAGCACTACGAATACCTATGTGCACCGCAGGCCAGTACAACATCATGCAGCAAGCTGCAGTTGCAATGTAGTGCAAGGTCGGCATGGTAGTGCAATGGTGTCCTGGTATGTCATGTCATAGAACTTAACTTAACCTTGCCATCAGTACTGTAACATAACGCAGCATTGCACAGGACCGTGTAGCCTAGATGCACTGCTGTACAAATACACACGCACACAAACACTCAAAATGTATGTGTATGTTTGTATATGTATATATGTATATAAATATGTATATATGTATATATGTATATATGTATACAGTACACACACAGAGACACACACACACACACTCTCACTCTCTCTCTTTGCTTTGCTTTGCTCTTCTTTCTTTCGCCAGGGTTATGGTGCAGGGGTGTTACCCCCTCTCTCTCTCTCTCTCTCTCTCTCTCTCTCTCTCTCTCTCTCTCTCTCTCTCTCTCTCTCTCTCTCTCTCTCTCTCTCTCTCTCTCTCACACACACAAACGCCCCAGTACTTAACAAACGACTGGAGCTTCTCGGCTGTATGGGCCAGTGTGTTAGGGCACAAGGTTCCAAACCTGCATGGTCTGCGCTTCCACTTGCGTCTGAGCCTTGACACACAGCATGAAAAAGCACACCACTGTTGCTGGCCGAAAGAACCCTAGTCCGGCAATCCTGCTCAATTCAAATGTTTTGTATCTTAGCTCTTGCAAGCCATCACAAACCTACCCGGCATTTAAGTTCGCTATGCAAGTTTCAAGTAGACATGCAGGTCTTCCGCACCAGATTTGAGAACCAACGAACCTCCAAGAATCACACGGTAATCGCCAACCGACTCTGCTCCTCTGGCTGCAGCATGCTTTTGAGGCTCAAGACCTGCAAGGATGAAAAGTTTGGCTGTCGCTTTTTCTCTAGACGGAGGCTAATGCTGTCGCCTTGTTTTCTCACTCATTACCCACTGCTAAAGGCTGTAAGTGCTCCAGTCGGCTCTAGTGTGTTCTAGTGACAGCAAGCTTGGGGGGAGCATTCAAACGCCTCGGTGCTACTCCTTCTCCCAGCTCTTGCCCAAATCTCAAAGCTCAACTCCCCAAGAGCTCAATGCAGGGTGCAAGCCCACGTGTCCCTTTTCAAAAGCCGGCACCGAACCTCATCAGCCACCCTCGAAAGCAAGCCTGGGGTGCTGGTTCGGGCTTGCGTGGTATTCATCGGTCTTCCGACAGCTTACTGGCTCTCTCTTTGCTATGTCTTGCGGGACTTGTGTGGGATCTTACGGAGTCGCGCGCATCAGGCGGCGTCCCTGTTTGTCCGTTGTTGCGGGTGAAGTCCCCACTCTGGGGGAGGCCTGCAGTGCTGAGAATATCTGCCGGGTGCAAAGGTACATTGCACTAGAACTGATTCGGGTATTGCCGGCCAGGCAAACCTCAATCGCAAGCACTACGCCCTCGCCCTCGTCCACTCAGGCTGCATTGGGCTCTCAACTCCGGCGTCCTAATTATTGCTAGTTTTTTACGATTATGATTATGTGACTACTGACCACTATTCTTTCTATCATCATTGCTATTAACAACATCACACGAACCCCCAAACACAGAAACCCACGGTCAGTTCTATCTCACGAGCCCAAGGTCTCCTTGCCGGAAGCGCCGTGGTGGGCACCCGTCGAACACACATGAAAGCCCGGGCAATTTTTGAGCACCAGAAGAAACGGGAGCTTGACTACACATCGGACTGAATTCCATGCTGAGTCGTGGGAGGTCAGCATCCAACGCAACACCCCCCAGCCCTGGTTTTCTGAAGTGTCCCGCCCAAGGAGAAAGAAACCACCCGTTTCTGCCTTGGAGGCAGTGGGCAGTCCGAATGAAACTACTGCCCGACCCAAAGCCCGAAGGTTCCGTAAACTCCAAGGACTAAAAAGCGCCAAAGCCTGACGCCTTCTTGAACCCGTGCTGAGGGCCGAATGCGTGTGACGGTCGAAAGCGGGGCCAAAAATACCAAACCCCGCAAAGGACACAACAAACACTGGATACGCTGGTTGATCTGAGCTTCGGCTTTGTGACCGCATGGCCATGCGCACCTGCGAGCAGCCGCCAGGTTGCGAAGGGTCTCAAAGACCCAGAAAGGTTAAGGGTTCAGGATGGTTTACGCTTGTACAGGCTCCAATTCTGGCTCCTGCAACGCAAGCCACAGCAAGCACGGCAGTTCTTAGTGCACTTTAGGGCTTACGAATCGAGTATGAGGGTTTAGGCGGGGTGCTCCGGAACTGTGGGCAAAGTCGGGGACTCAGCCGGGTTCAACGACAAAGAAAGGGCTGGCGATGGCTGGGATTTGGGTCGTGTGGCGGCGTGGCTGGGTCTGCTGACCTTCCACGACAAAACAACCAGCAGAGCACAATCTACATGCCGGCACTGACATACCACTGTCAACAAGATTTCGGAGATCGAGCGTTGCTGTAGGGCGAAGTTTTGGCGGTGGTTCGACGTCGAAAATCTGTTGACACTGTGTGTCTTGAGCCCTTCTGTTGCTACTGGACTCAAACCTAGCCAGACCTTGACCTGCAAATCATCTTGACGGAGGCCAACTCCAAGGGCTGTTACTTAGTTTTTCTTGAGCCCTAAACCCTGCATGAACCCTAATGTAGGAACCTGATTAAGAAACCCAGGGCCTAACCCCAAAATTGGTGGGCTCATACAAAGAACCCTAATAAAGACCCAGGGTTTCTTAATCAGGTTCCTACATTACCAAACCTAAACTCTCCCCCTCTGCTGCAAAGCCCTCAGGTACCAGCCTCATCCTGTCCGGCTTCCAGGGCCGCTTTCACGGCTCCCAGGCCATCAAGGCAGTCTTGAAACTGCGCCATGGCAGCGAGATGAAGATATGTATTTCTTTATATGTATGTATGTATGTATGTATGTATATATATATATATTATATCACATACATTCTAGTGTGTACGCTTGCAAGCACACCTGCGGACTCCATGCCCAAGCGCTGCTTTCAACCTGAGCGTGTGGTGATCGTCATGCTGGAATCTGCTGATAGAGGACTACTCGCGTCGCTGGTAACGTGCAATATGTCCCGTGGGCCAGGAACCCTCACAACAAGCTGCGTTATTCCAAAGCTGCTCATATAAGTGCTCCTAGGGCTTCAGGTACAACTGCTACGCCTGCTAGTTGTCCTGCACGAGTCTACCGCAAACCGTGCTTGGGCCGATATGCCTCGGTAGCTGTTTGCGTACTCCCTGCCAAGTATGTCGGAAGTGACCCATGGTCCAAAGAAGAGCATTAATTGGGCAAACCTAGCCAATACATCTGTTGACACCAACCTGTCGAATATTGTTCTGTAGCGAAGAGGGTGCAGAAGTGGCAAGAGACACATGCAACTTTTTGCATTGCATGTGTTGTGAACACACGGCAGGTGCAGCACGTGCCTGTAGTGCCATAACCCCGGCCCAAACATCCCCGGTCTCGTTGCATTGCTGCGCGGCTTCTTGCCTGCTTCAACAGCTTCCGAGCTTATGAACACGGAAGTATAGGGAAACTTCCGAGCTTATGAACACGGAAGTATAGGGAAAGGATGATTAGAAAGCGGTATCGGGGTGTGCTCAACTGTCACCCCCTCAGAATCAAACAAATAATTGTGCTTTTTGTAATGACGCGTTCTACTTGGATTATTTGTCGGGATAGGTGGGGACAGAAGTTGAATGCACCGACGTTGAAGTGATTTCAGCTGAAGCTTGAAGCCTCAACTGACCGAAACACTGTTATGAACGGGCTCTTCTGGGCTGGCGACAGCCTATATTGCAGCTTTATCATTGGCCTTACCCTCTACGGAATCGATCTTGACAGCTTTCAGTCTGAAAGAAAACATGTCTTGAAGTGAAGGCCAGGAAACTACAGGCTACTTCCACTGCTAAGAAGAAGCACTGTGACTTGAGCTCCTCTAGCAGTATATGGACCTAATGATTCGAGCAGAGATTAAGGCTACACTGCATTATTTTGTGGAGCGCCAACTGATCGAATTCGACTGGAATGTGCTGCACTGACTTTGGCTGGACCCCAGTCCTGACGTCTTGGGTTGCAGCGCTTTGTGGTGATGCATTTTGGCTGCACAATTTGCACGTTAACTTGCCTCCAAGACTTGAATTTCAGGCCAAAGACGTCATCACAAACGGGGCAACGTGTTTGAGAACCCCCAACATGAAGGCCGAACACTGAATCCTGACCAAAGGCACCCGCGCATCACGGCCGTCTTGCCCTTGCCAACCGCCATGAGGCAGTCAGAGACCTGGTCTGCTCTGAGGTTCATAGCACGATGAAGGGGTGCGGGCCGGGGCTCACAGTCTTTGGGGGGAGTTTCTGGGGTTAACATTGGGCCCTGGAGCTCAGCCTTTTCCCTCAGTCCTGTTTCTTTCAACGCACCTGGACTTACCGGCCGGGATGTGGCAAAGATCCTGATCTTCGGCAGGCCGTTTTTCAACAAGGTCCCCTTTTCAGTCTGCATGATCTGTTATCCGTAGGTTTCTTGTTGGAGGTCTATAAGTTTAGTTCTCTCGCGTAAAGGGACACTCCTGGTCCCCACTCTTCGCCTTGGAGCCCCGGGCTTCAGGGGGTCAAAGGAGATGCTCCGGGGAGTTTCAAAGCTTCAGCTTCAGGGAAGTTTTGGGTCCAGAGGCTACCTCAGGACTTCGAAGGAATTGAAGCCAAGGAAAGCCCAGAAAAGAACTGCCTCGGACTTCAATGCTTCAGTCGTACTTCACCCAGCCGGGGATAGCATCGAGTACGGTGCCAACGACGTTGTACTGAACTGAGCCGAAACTCGAAACCCCCGTGTGAAAGCCCCAAATCAACCACTCAAACACCCAAACACCGGAGACCCCCCAAACACCAGCATCAACACTGCTGAATCAACACTGCTTCGCCCCGCGAAAGCACAGGTACAAGGAGAAGGAGGCCCCGGCCTTGAGAAGAGCTGCCATTTCCTCGACCTTTAGAGCTGTTCTCTCTGGGGACTTAGGGCTATGGCGGCTATGGGGTTCAGAGTTTCTGCCTCCTACTATTGGGTTTGCAGTTTGTGTTGAGGCTGATGTCGGCTCGCTGATGTCATGATCAGCCCTGCCCCCAAACCTGCACCTGAATACCGCAAAACGTAAACGACCTAAACTTTGAGACCTACAAATCCTAAACCGTAAACACTGTCAAGCCTACGCGCTGCAAGCCCTAAGCCTTTACATCTTAAACTCCATAACCCTGAACACTGCAAGTCCTAAACTCACACTCTACAAGAACTTGCCTAAAGCCCATACGATAGAAGCCGACGGCCAGAGAGGTTCGAACTCTGTGCCGAGGCCTCAAAGCTACGCTTTTGTGTTTTGACGACAATTCAGTGCCTTCAGGGCCTTTAGGATGTAAGGGCTCCTTCCAAAAATCACGTAGGTGTCGTCTCTCTCTTGTTCTAATGACCCAGTAAGGGTCGCAATTTTCGAACTCCCGATATCAGGATATTCTCACCATCACAGCCATATACACACTCGCAGCGCGAAGCTACTTCGTAAATAAAGTGCGAATGCAGAGTAAATACAACATCAGGCGGGAATAGCCTTTCCCGGCAAAATGCACAGAGGCTTTCAAGACTGATAGGGCTGCGACTTACTCGAGGCTTCGTTGCACGCGCCTTGCTGCTGTTGCTCAGGACCTTCAGCAGCGTGAGGCCTTGCTCTGCAGCAGCCAAGGCCTCAGAGAGTCTTCAACCCGAGCTAATGTGGAATGCTTCACTAGGGTGAAAAGTAGGGTAACTATACTTATAACTCATATTCGGGGACTTATAACCCACCTTATAACTGCCCCTGAAACTTGAAGCTACTACCATGACCCACAACTAAATCTTTGGATTTACGGTGCCCGTTGAACTTGAGACATTCCGACTCCTTGCTTGCTGGTTTAGATTTGGCTCGAGACTATGAGTCATCCAACAACCTCGCGGAAACTTTCGTTCAGATGTGCGTTCGGCAACCCGCAGCCCTAACTAATCTCGACAAACCGTGGAATCAGGTTCAAGGATATCATCAGTGGCAACACCAAGAAGAGACCAGTCCAAAATGCAGCTCGCCGTAGCATGCACACTTTCATCCTAGCACCAGCCGAAGAACTTAACTTCATGGACATGATAGAGTCTGGTGGTATGCTTCCAAAAGATTCTTAACACAAAGCCTGAACTCGCTTTTTATCATCTTCCTCTGTCCGTGCTTGGTAGCGGAAGCCCAGTCCTGTCAGTTGCCGTGTTTGAAAACGCAGATGCATCCGCCAATCTGGATCCATCTCGAGGGGTGCATGTGATGGGGATTTCATTATTTCGATTCTGCCCAGATCCCTTTTGAGCATGTAGAGTATGGTTTATATTACTAGTATCCCCATAATAAAACCCAATACATACACTCACCAAAATTCAAAAAGAGCCCTATCTACACTCACCAAAATGGTAATATAAGCCCTACTTCATGTGTTTCAGGTTGGGCAATCTTTTGTCCCGCCGAGCTGAGGTCCTCGTATCCGCTAAGTGAGATTGGGAATCCGGGAACTTCGCAGTGCAATCGTGATAATGTCCAACGGGAAATGGAGGGAATCTTAATGGGGACCCTGGCTATATAATGGGTATATAATAGCTAGGCCAATAGAATAAGAGGTATATACCTAGGGGTCCTTATTAAGGGTCCCTCCTTTTCCCCTTTGATAATGAGACGGGCCGGCTTGCCGGGCCCGTCGTCTGCAAAGACAACAGACTTTGATCGAATAGGCCTGATCGGTGAACCCGTGTGGACAACTGGATTCTCACGAATGCTAGACATGCAAGCAAGTGGATTCGTGTCTAAATTCTCAACTCTGAACCCGTCAAGTCATATGTGGACTTCGGTAGCCGCTGCAAGTCTAGAAAAAAACTTGACCGGACAATCTGCAGAACAGGTATTCAGGCCACTGCAAGCACATCAACTGCACCTTCTAACCGGAACTTCGCAGTTAGCCAGGAGTCCAAAGAGTCCAAAAGCTTCTGGAGCCGGTCCTTGTGCTGGAATCAACATGCGCTGAGGAACGTCCTGAGTTCTTCACACGGTTTTTACGGGCCTGAAGGCTTCAAGCATCGAAGGTCACTCGGCAAACTCATGCTTGCCATTGCCCTCCATCCTGCTCCTTCCGGCTCCCCTCCTCCTTGCCATCAGCATTGACATCCGCAATGTCTGTGCTTCCCCGCGCCGTCACCGCTGTATCGGTGTCAATGCTGTCATGGCCCTTCTCATACTCATAATCATCCTTTCAATAAAACAGCTGGGCATGTTAGGAACCATAGACGTTAAAGGAGATGAAAGCAAAACAACATCGGGCGAGAAACTTAACTCTTGACAGTCTTGACATCTATGCGAATTCGCAGGTTTCCATGCACGACAGTCTGGCAAGTAACACCACACTGCCACGCAAACAAACTGAACCGTCGCAAAAACATGCGAGGATTTAGTCGCATCCAAGTGTCTGCACAAGTAGCTGTGCAAAGTATTGCTGGCAGATGGATCTTCCTTTCGCACGTGCAGGTCTGGAGTTGTGAGAACAGTAGCTGTTGATTGCTGTTGCGAGTTCGCAGGGCCCAAAGAGGGACTAGCCATTCCGGCTATGCCCAGAAGGCTGCTGAAGCCTTGTAACATGCACCCTGAATCCTACATCCTAGACCCTAAAGTTCCCAAATCAAAAACCTCAGGGCTCCTGTTGCCATCGCGAGAGCTCTTCGTAAGCCTCTGCAAGCGCCGTTCGAAGCTCGCCCGCCTGAGAGGTTAGGGTCGGTTAGTGGGTCATGTATTTATTGAAGCTGTGGAGGGGGGCGCTTAGACGATACGGTTTCGGAGATCAAGTTTGTAAGGTTTTCCGATGCTTGATACGGCTTTAGGCTTGCTGTTTGGCTTCTAGGGCCTTTGGAGTTCAAAGGGTTTTACTGTATTTGGACGCTTCACAGGGGGTCTTTTGCGTTCATCGATTGCTTCGGTTCATTTCGCTTTGTCATGAGTCCGGTGTTTTAAAGGTTTTAGGGTTGAATACGGTTTCGGGCTCTATAGGAGTTACAGGTGATGTTGTTCAGCGCCGCAGGGTTGCGGCTGGACAGCGATAAGGTTTCTTTCGTCAAGATGAATTTGTGGTGGCATGTCAGAAGTCAGCGGATCTGAAACTCGAGCTAATGACATACCGCTTGGCACAAAACTGTGCGTTGCCTTGGGTTTTAGCTTGTCTCGCCTATTGGTCATCGCGACATGCCCTTTCTGCCCTTGCTGGAACCGCCTCAGATGCAAGGTTGGTGCAGTGCAGTGGTTGTATTTGTCGAGAGATTGCAAGAATCGTCATCAGGTGCATTCAGGGCATGCATGGAGTCACGGTTACGAACAACACTGACTCATATTGACTCAAGAAGGGCATGTAAAGCCGACAAGCAAAACCAATGCACTGATAGCTGCTGGCATGCCATGAGCTATGGCCGCAAAGTATCGAGAAGTCATAAGCTTCAGTGCCAACACTGAAGAATTACAGCTCCGGAAATCCCAGCGCCTGGACGGACAAGGAGTCTTCACCGCTATGCGTTGTGCGTGCTGCTGCCTGACCAGCACCACACAACCGGACCGTCAGACCGTACAAGACCGGACATGTATGTATGCATGCATGTACGCATGGGTGTACGTATGCGTACGGGTGCATATGAATAAACTGAGCATTGAATGAAGAACAATACGACGAAGGAACGAATGAACATCTCAATGGATCTGCCATGTATTCAAGCATGCATGTCTGAAGGCGCGCATGCAATGCAGATATGCGCGCGTGTGTACATGTGTATGTATGCATGTACGTATGCGTTTGTGTGTGTGTGTGCGCGTGTGTGTGTGTACATTATGACCTGCAAAGCTATGCATGGTAGGTGAACTAATTATGCGTGCTGTGTATATTCTGCCTGTTGCCTTTGTTACAATAGCTGTGCATGCTAATGACGTTATGTCTGCAACGCAGAGCCATGTATGTTGTGCATTTGCATGTTGCAAGGCGTTTGAGTTATGTTCTGTATACATATATGATGTATGCTGTATACATATTACGCGCAATGCATCATGTAACGTACGCAACTATAAAAAGTAGGACATGCAAGATATGCATGGCACTAGAGACGTGAACTCTGGCCATGTAGTGCGTTGCATTGTCATGTGTGACACATGTAGGTATGTATGTAGACATGTACCTATATGTACGCTCGAATACGTGTGGGTGGGCATGCAATGCTAATGCTACATACCAAACATACCACATGCATACATGAATACATACATACTTACATGCATACATACATACATACATACCCGCATATGTACATACCCAGGTACGCACATATGTACATACATACATACATACATACATGACATATATATATATATATACACTTACATATATATATATATATACGTGTCAACACCACAGATACACACACACACACACATGTACATGTATGCAGACATGTACACATGCAGCCGGCGATCGAAAACGCCCGGCAGACCAGTGCCGGTAAGTTGCACCGAAGTCATCCCGATCAGGGCAGCCTGCAAGGAAAGGTCCAGGGCGTCAGATTCGAGACTTTAAGATTGCACTCTCGCTCTCGGTACTGCCAGGCATGGGTGCGCTACAATTAGTCTCAAGTCCACTGGACAGCACAACCATAAGACCATGAGAAGACCTCCGGTCCATTTCAGCTCCGAGGGAGATAGATGCGTTATTTGCCCACCTTCCAACGTGCAGCACTATGTCACGCCACGAGAACCTAAAGTGAACTTCTCGTAGGACATGGTTCCATTCAAAGTCAAACGCAGAGACCTCTGGAATGTAGAGATATGGTTCTACTGTAGGACTTCGCATTAGGGGATTTCCGGTCCGGAGTTCCTTCTGGCATGGTCCAAGGGGTTCATATGTCAACCCGAACAGCTTCATGCCGTCAGTGTCAGCTTGACGTTAATTCGCGGGCCGAGTGTTTGAGGCAAGCTGCATGAAATTAAATCCAGCAGAAACCAGAAATGCTTACTGCCTCCTCTATGCCCCAAACATGACCCGCCGTGACCACCACACCTTCTTGATGCGTGCATCACGCCCGTGGCTTGTGAAAGGCACTATGCCAAGCGATGTACCAGAGCTGTTGACAATAGCCTGCACGTGAACCAAATGATTCCCCCAAAGGCACGCAGATGCAGTGATGCTGGCCCGGCAGTACACAGTATGCTACATACATACATACCTACATACATATGTGCATTACTTGTATGTATGTATATATATACATACATATACACATGTATCCACATTGATACATATGTACATTTATATACATATAATTTCATATATAGATGCATACTGTAAAGCATGTTCTTAATGCGCACAAAAATGTGAACATGTACATGCCTACACACAGGCAAGCAAGCAAACACGCACACGAGCAAACAATCCAACAAACAAGCCAGCCAGCCAGCAAGCAAGCAGCAACAACGACAACACAAACGAACAATCAAACACAGATACATACATATCTTGCAAACCTACATGCCTTACAGGCTTGTTCGCATGCATGCATTCCTGTCTGCCAGCCTGCCTGCCTGCTTATACATGTGCATGGCTACACACAGGCAAGCAAGCAAGCAAACAATAAACAATTATCAAAATGCATGTATGCGAAGAAACGTAAGTACATACCCACATGCCTGCCGATGTGCATGCCTGCATGCATGCATACATACAACATGCATACAAAACAGACAACCGGACGAGCAGACAGACAGACAGGCAGGCAGGCAGGCAGGCAAACACCCAAACGCGCAGGACGGACAAACGGACGGACAAACAAACAGACTGTAGGCATGTTTTTTAGTGAGTGTGTGTACACGTACCTATGTACTGGTAGTGTAGTGCAATCCTCTGTATGGCGCTGCCTCGCATTGTGGTGTACTGTATTTGTGCTTGTGTGCTCTTCTGCGAATGTTGGTCGCATTTCCTGTGTATCTTTCAGAAAACTGAGCTGTTCTGCAATGTATTTTCATTGCGTTACAAAGAACTGTATGCACCATTTGCCAGACGCGCAACTGACCACACCTGCGGTGAAAGACGCGCAACACGCACACACCCACACGTAAAGACACGTGCTGAATCGAGCAGGCTCTTCTTCACACACAAACCGTGGTTTAATGTTTACCCCATCTAGTCTACGAGACCTACTCTCGTGTCTCAGCGAGCACAGCTCACCTTCAAGACATAAGGGTTGACAGCGGCGCCAGGACCCTATTCGAGCTCTGAGCCTGGCCCTTGAAACTACACCCTAACCTGAAGCGCACCATCCCGTAGAAGAGCAAAGAGCGAGTTCCTCAAATGGACGTATAAGACTGTTTAGCACTTTGTGGGGCCCAGGCACTCTTCTCTGGACAACTAAGAAGCCAAAGTACGGCAATTGTAGAAACTTGCCTCCTTGGTTCACTCGCCTTGAACCAAACGTATCCATTGGCTGAGTCGCCTGGAGGCTCCGCCTAGTATATACAACACCCGCTTCTTAAAGTCAAGGGAACCGCATCTATTTTGTAGCTGTAGCGACTGTTCGTTTGGGAGGCCTCCATGCACAGACCAAAGGAAAACATGGGAAAAAATTGAGCAGAGCATTCGGTCTTGGCCGTACACTTGCTGGGTGTGCGAGACAAAGCACCATGGGCCTTTAGAGTTTATTGGTTGAGCGTTTTCCGAAGCTCTGCACACCCTGTGCCCTGTTGGTCCCAGTGTGGGGCCAACCTGGCGTGCAAGAACCGGCAGCAGCCCGGCCACATCGCAGCGGTGATCCGGGTTAAGGATCCAGCTGCCAGCTTCCCAAGTATGACAAAAACCCAAGACGGGGCCGACGAAACTAAAACCGAGGTGTGCTGCACCGCCATTTCTGAAACAAAGCTCAGCGCGACGAGCCAAGCTGGGGTGCAGAGCTGCCACGGCCGAAACATACATAACTACTGATACATACATGCCACTCTGTTGGTGATTGCACACAGACACGCAGGTTACTCGTGCACCGCAAGGATTGGAAGCTTTAGCGAGACGGTTTGTCCGAATTCCGATCCGATCCATGGACCTCCTGATCTTAGCAGTGCCCCATGCAGGGCCCCTTCATGCTAATGTCAACACCACATGCTGGTAAGGGAAGGATCAGAGCAAATTCCGGAAGAATTTCAGGTCTAAAGCAACTCAAGACGGGAGGAGTAGGACGTCTCCATCCATGCCTCTGTCCGAAGAGGTGTTTTGCGTACAGGGCTATGTTCTGGGATTCTAGGGTTTACGGTTTACATACCGAAGAATTGAAACCTGAACCCCAAGAGTTGCATGCGCGGCTCGCAGTGAAGTGCAGGAGGGCCGAGGTTCAGGTTCGAAGCGTCCCTCAACGCAGGCTTTAGAGCCTATAGTGCCCAGCCCATAGGGATCTGTAAAGAGCTAATGGGATTTTGGGTGGCGAAGTAATCGAACTTCAACGTCACGAAAGGCCACAAGGACCGGATCCTCAGCTCACAACGACACTGCTCGGGTCTGGCACTTCTTCACCTTGACATTTATCATCTGCGGCGAAGCTCTTGCTACTGTTACTAGCGAGCTTTGCAGCGACCTGGCAAGGATCGTGCTCCGAAGCTTGTCGATGAGGTGCTCAAACGCCGTAGGATCTTCCTGCACTCTCCTCAAGAACAGCTCCATCTCCTCTCCATGCTTCTCGCCGTTCCCACAGCCTCCGGGTGCTACTACCCGGGCAAAGGATAAAGATGCGCTGCCGCTAGTTCCGGTCGTCTGGCGGGTTACGCTGTTTCCGCCCAGCCAATTCTGAAGCAGCAATGCCTGCGATGGCTTTCTCAGAATCTCGTTGATAGGATCCCGGCGTGTTGAAATCAACAGGTCCCCTACACGGGAGGAGGGAGGTACAGCCATGGAACGACTTCAAGTCTTGTGGCATACCTCTTCACGACTTGAGCCAGTTTCACGGCACGGGGTTGCACTGGGCTCGGGAAGTACAACTATCGCTTGCACCGGCCGGCTCTGAACTGGCAGTCACTGCAACAACCCCACCCCAACTGCACCTATGTCGGAATCCGTCGGAATCGTGATAAGTCAACCATTGCTAACCCTTTCATTCGGGGTAATTACTCGACCTGGGCCAAGGTTACCCTGAACCTAGTCCGATCACCCAGCGAACCTACTAGCGGCAGTCAGGACATAAAGGCGCGAGAGCCAGTCAAATGTAGTAACTTAAACAGTGGAAAGTAATCAGACTTCCACATTCACCTGCACCCTTGCCCTTGCTGGCAGCATGCTTGAGCGGGCGCCGGGGCCCGCATGTGAAGCTGCATGGTTGCTGATTCGACCCCTGCAGGTTTGGTCGACATGTGCGAAACCACAAGAAACTCCTGCAAACCCTTTTCATATCGGATATGTATAGCTCTACATGCCCATGGACGCTTGAATGTGACAAATCTGTAAATGCATAGCCGCAGAACCATATCTCTGGCTGGAAACCTGTCTCCCTACATACACGAACATATACATCTCTGTGCCTCTTCGTCTGTCCGCTTCTGTCTGTGTCTGTCCGTGGCTATCCGTGTCTGTCCGTGTCTGTCTGTGCCTGTCTGGGTCCGTCTGTGTCCGTCTGTGTCCGTCTGTGTCTGTCTCTGTCTGTCCGTCTCTCTCTCTCTCTCTCTCTCTCGCTCTCTCCCTCCCTCCCTCCCTACCGCATACACATAATTATGCACATGTGACATATACACATATGTACATATATATATATATATATATATATTCTATATATATATATATATATGCACAAATACATATATACATATATATATATATATATATGTATGTATGTGTATATATATATATACACATACATATACATATATATATATATAGATAGATATTTTGCCTGGGTTGGAGGACGCGCCTCATACTCGTATTTATATATATATATATATACACACATACACACATAGAGAGAGAGAGAGAGAGAGCGCAAGTTGCATTGTTGTCTCTGGACGTGTGTGCATACATAAATAAATAAATAAATATAAATATAAATATATATATATACACACACACATGTGTGTATACATCTGTGCGTGTGTACACACATATGTACCCCTATGCACAGATGCACAAACAAATACATACACTTGTTACTTACATACTGGTTTCTGTATGTGCATACATTCCTGCCATATGAATACGTATATGTATACGTACGCGTTTATGTCTATGTATGTCTCTCTGTGCATGCACACACGAGTGTAGAGTCCCATGGGCCTTCTCTGGAGTTCTCAGGCTTCGGGTGGCCACTGCGCTGCTGCTCCTGTCATGCGAGTGGGGTGCAGCTGACTCCAAACTCTCACGGTCTCAGGTGTTTGGGATGTTTAGGGATGGGGTTGAGGTTCTCTGGCACTGCGGGCTTAGGATTCTCGTGAGCTGAGGGCTGAGCAGAGCTGTAGCTACGCATCTAAGGGAAAAGATATGTGTTGCAGCAGCTATGCTGAACGCTTTGGGGATCCAGGAATGGAAGGAGCTCATTCCTCGTCATACACTGAAAACGAAATTCAAACTACGAGTGCATATCATGACATGCCACGGCCGTCAACCAACGCATCCCCATGGCTCAAATCACTATTTCGGCACACTACATCAGACACGTCATCGCAAATATGGCTGCGACATTGCTACATCTCGAGATCTCTCATCATAAGTAGAACGCAGACGAAGCATCAAACTGAAAAAATCCCCTTGACCAGGACACTCTGTCGATGATGGCCGACTAATTAAGACTAGTTGGAAAAAACAGCCACGAGCTCGCCGCTTCCAAATCCAACTCCCTTCAACTCTCCAAACACAAATCCTTTGCTCAGTTGTGCTTGTGACACCTCGTAAAGCCCAAACTGCACACAGGGCAAACGATGACCAAGGCTCCTCGATCTCACGGTGCAGCGCTTCCTGTCGAGACCCGATAGCTAAAACCACGATGAATGCTTCAAAGATGGGTGCAGCACTCGATGCTGCTTTCGCTACCGTTAGGAATGCTCTGGCACGTTCTCCGGCTGCTGACAAACCGGCGTGCCAGCACTGGGAGCGCTAGAAGGAGCTCTCGTCTGTCACTGTAAGCCTTCGTTGCTCAATGTTTTCTCATGCTTTTCCCAGGAACCAATGCTGCTGGGTGGTAGTGCTGGTAGACATCACAAGACCACACCAGCAGCTGCAGCTCCACCACCACCACCACTGCCACCGCCACTGCGACTGGTTGCTGCTCCGACGAGGACGACTACGGCTACGGTTCCGAGAATACCCGCGGGCCGGCCCAGAGGACACCAGTCGTGCTTTTACCGGCTCAAGTGCCGTAAGGCCGCTGTCTCGATGCTTCAGGGTCTCGGCCTTACGGTGTAACATTAGGCAGTCAACCTTGCGGTCTCAAGCTATTCCTACGTGCTCCTACATTTCTGGATGAGGCTTCGGTATTCGGAGCCATGAGGCTACCAGGATTTAAGAACTCTCGTCTGCGATGCTAACTGCTAACGAAGGAACCGGCAGTATGTCAATTTTTGTTGGGATATTATACACCCGAGACTCACTTGAGCCGAGGGGCATTGTGGTGCGTCAGATCTTGAAGCATGAGACGCAAGCGAACCTCCTGACGTTGGTGCACGGATAAGCTCCATGACTAGGATATCCTGCGGTGTTGGGCTCAGGGAGTTGAGTGTCGACCCGAACATTCGAAGCACCGACACCGCATCATCGGAACAAAAATGTAGCAACAACGATAACCCTCATACATGGTTTGAGATTTCGGACTTTATTATGAGGCCCAGAAACAAGCATAAGTAGGCTACTGGTGCCCGCCGAGCTTCATCTCAGAATGTTGCACTGCCTTTAATCCGCCGAGGCCAAAGGCCTCTGGCGTCTTGATGGTTAATACTAACCAACCCTCTACCTATGCAAACTTCCACCCGTTTTTAGCGACTGTTTTCGACCCCCTTGCCCGGCTTCCGTCCTTTTTTGCTGCCGAATTTGCCTCCCCCTGCTCCCCCCCTCCCGGGCCCCCCCCCTGCCCTGCCCCCCCCCTCCCCCCTCCCTCTCTCTCTTCTCCCCCTCCGGCCCGTCCTCCCCTGCCCTCCTCGCTCGTTTTCCTTTTTTTGGTTCCCCACCGTTCCGTCTTGTCCTGCCCTCGCGTGTTTTTTCGATTGCCTGCTCGTTTTCTTTCACCTTTTCTTCTCTTTCGGCCTGCCCCCGGCTCCACTGTCTTTTCTTCTTATGTTTCGTTTGCGTGCTTCTTTCCTGCTTCCTCGTTGAAGCTCTCGTTTTGCTGTTTTGTTCCGGCCCCTTTTCCCACCCTTCCGTCTTGTCTGCACTTCTTTTGGCTTGTTTTCCTTCCTTCCCCCCCTCCCCCTCTTGCTGGCCCCCCCTTCCTCCTCCGGCCGGCCAGTCCACCCTTCCGTGTTGTCCTGCCCTCGCGTGTTTTTTCGACCTTTTCTCCTCTTTCGGCCTGCCCCCCACCGAGCCGGCTCCACTGCCTTTTCTTCTTATGTTTCGTTCGCGTGCTTTGGCTTTTTCGGCCTGCCCCCCCCCGGGCCGGCTCCACTGCCTTTTCTTCTTATGTTTCGTTCGCGTGCTTTGGCTCTCCTGCTTCCTCGTTGAAGCTTCCCCCCCCGACCCTCCCTCCCTTCCCCGGCCCCCCTCCCCCGGGCCTTCCCCCGGCCCCTTTTCCCACCCTTCCGTCTTGTCCTGCCCTCGCGTGTTTTTTCCATTGCGACTTTTTCGTGCACTTCTTTTTGGCTTGTTTTCTTCCCCCCCCCCTCCCCCCCACCCTTCCTCCTCCGGCCCCCCCTTCCTCCTCCGGCTTCCCCTTGTTTTTTGTCTTCTGCCTGCTCGTTTTCTTTCACCTTTCTTCTCTTTCGGCCTGCCCCCGGCTCCACTGTGGGTTTTGCTGCATGTGTTTGCTCTACACTTGCCACACTTCTCCAAGTAGCCCTGACCCTGCAACTAAATTACACCTGCTTTAAGAGGCCCTTCGCAGTTTGGCCCCTGCTCTGCGCCCCTGCTGGGTGTACTGCAGCCGGCGGCCGAGGCTGTAATGCAAACCGGCCGGGGGCACTTCATGATTTAGCATGTTGCTGGGGTCCTCCATATTGCGCACAGTTTGCGCTTTCCTGTGCGCTAATGGTCAATCTTACTCCCGTCGAGGATACGAAGAGAGGGTTTTCAGCCTGCCTTGATTTTGAAGGGTTTTGGGGGGGCCTTCTAAGGAATGGGTAGACCTGGGGCTTTATCTTGGAGGGTGTTGGGTGCAAGCGCCAGGGCGTGATATGGACCAGAAGAACATCATTCACAGCATAGCCCTTCTTCTCATGGTAAGTTCCAGCCTGCTTCAAGCCCTCGTCATTGCAAACATGCCACCCGAAGCAGAAAGCCATCAGAGAAGGACGAAGACAGAGTGAACCATCCCGCAACTTCAACTTGAACGGCAAAGCAGGACTCGTAACCTAGATGCCCACAGTGTGTCTGTGAAGTACCACAAAGAAGCGTATGCCAGAAGTCATCGATGGGAGATGAACCCAGGAACCTCCACCCACCTTTTAGTGGTAGCTGTAGCAGTCGCAGCAAGGGGCGCTGGAGGAGTCGTAGCAGGAGCAGCATGAATTTGCTAATGGGGTTTGTGAAGTATAAACGACAGCAATGCCGGTGGCAGTGGCGGTCGTATCAGGGGCTAGTTAGAAAGGGGTGCACTAAGACGGCAAACAGTAACTCATAATGGCAAAAATGCAAAAGGAGGAAAGAGCAATTGCAGCACAAGATAGACAAGCCAGCAACAGGCAGAAACAAGTTTTTAAACGAGAACATTTCAAGCAAGCCGCTCGTGAAACAGCGACAGCAGGATTCTACAATGGATGAAAGGT